CCAAGATGCATTATGTAAAGGTACAATTCCCAATGAGAAATGTAATTGTGTTGTATACCTACAATGTACCAATAAAAGAATTTAACAACAACAAAAATCTATATGATTCCTATGATTCCTCTTTTCTGTTTTAGTTTGTTTTTCAGTTTAACAAGAAATACACAAGAATGAGAGAAAATATACATAAACAGAAGGTGAATAGTAACATACAATTGAGAAATAATGATTTGAGAAATAATGATTTGCATTATTCTTTAGTGGTCTAGAAGCCCACAACTGCTCTTCTCCTTGTAGTAGGGCTTTCTGTAAGAAACTCAAAATGAATCAAATATGCATCCAACAAACTAGCCCAATCTATATAAAATAAGTTAACTGTATCAATCATATCACCAAAATATTGTTAAATTTTAATAGAAATTAAAATGGCATAAGTATAAAGTCTGTTGCTAAGAACATGTTATTTATTGTGTATATTTTCTGTATGGGTTAAATGTGGAAATTGTATTAGATGAACAATAAATCATGAAATATTTCATACTTGCAAGGAAACTAAATCTTTTTCTCAAATTGACTTAACACACGACTGAATCTACCAGAGCTTATGAAAATTTATTACATTTCATCTTGATTCCCATTTGGGAAAGAAAGGACAGAGTTTCTCTCCAAATTATAACTCACAAAGCTACCGCGATTCCATAGGCACAATCAATATTGATGAATAACAATGAAAGGAAGGGCTGCCTTGAACCGGGGACAACGGCAACTTTGGGGAATCTGTAGGTTGTCAGGGGATCCACAGTTTCTTGCTGGCAACATAGACCGCTGTGCTCAATTTGGGGCTTTGGTGAACTAAAGTTTGTTCAGTTGGCTTTGACTAATTTCCTTTGGGAAATCAGCTCAGTAAAATCCATAGGTAGCTCTCAACTTTTGGCTTTTAAAGGAGCAATTTTACAAAATTAACACGTTGGAAACTTGGCCTCCACCAGGAACATAAACACAAGTATTCCCACCCACACACCAACACACCTTAGATAATAATTGTGTGTGTGACCTCACCATGAAGCAATACAGGAAATATTAAGCTCAATTAATGCAACTAAACACAATCAATATGAAACACACTTCTTCACAGAACATTTATACACATGTGAACTACCAATGCTAAGATTGGGAGAGGGGAAGCAGACAAAACTGGTGGTTGAAAGTTATTTAAAAACTCTGTTGAGTCCATACTTTTAATGCGAGAGAAGTTAATATATCTGCAGCAATATTTTATGTACCTGAAATTAATTCTGAAACAAGAAGTCTGTTATGATTTAGAAAATGCTTCTCTACCTTGCTTTTTTCCACTTTTCCCTTTTTCCTTCCCATTTACCCACTTAAGTGATGAACAGAGACTTCTATCCTACCTGTTTTGAGGTTCCAATAACCTCCAAAGCCATCAGCATCCCCTCTTCATCTTATAGGATTTGCCTCAAACTTCCCGGCTCCCATCTGCATGTCTCTGACACTTCTGCCCATCTCTTGAGCAGAAGAACTGGTAGCCTTCGCTCCTAACTGCCATTGTACAATCTTGGAAGACAGGAATAGTTGTCCCTATGGAGAACTGGGCAGATTTGTGTACAGTCCAATCTAGTAATAATGACAACTTACGCTTCTGTGGCAAAGAACAGGTTTTCTTACTGCCATTACGATGAAAACACATGTCTGGAACTCTAGGGAATAAACCCATGCTGTGTAGGTGTTGCTAGTATGTATGCATCCCGAAGGAGACGGCACATAGAGGACAGATGCAAAGAAAGGACAGTCTGCTGGCTACTGCACTGCTGTAAGTAATAAGCTTCCTTTGTCCCTGTGTCTGTCACCACTGACGAAGCCCGTAGCCCTTCGGAGTTCTTAACATCTCGTTATCCCATGTCTGTCCTGATTACGGGATAGATTCTCTTCTTTACTCAGACCCTTTCTTTAGTGGTGACTTAAGTGGGTCGGGGGCCTTTCTTTCTATTTAGTTTCTCTCCAGGTTTCTGCCTCCTTAACTCAATGTTTATCAGTCTAAAGTCCTCACTTGTCCGCAAAAATGAGAATCAGATGAATAAGAGGTGACAATGAGGTAGAGTCAAGGATAGCAACAGGAATCTATGAATATCAAAGAGAGTGGAGATTGTATATGGAGTAGGAGCCTGCAGATAGCTGGACAGCAATGGGCTTTCCATGCCATCCCTATCAGAGACCTGTCGTAAAGACGTATTGCCTCTGGGCGTTTGGAGAATGTATGTACAGCTAGGCTAGGTGCCTGGCTTATTACACTGCTCTGAATCTATTTCTTTATTTCCCAGCGTTCACTGTTAAAAATACCACTTTCTAATCATCCTACTTCTTCTTTACCAACCCTCTAAGAATAAAATTAGTACACGCATAGTCACAGAAATGCAGTCAGTGATCAGCTGCTCAGGGATATTTTCATTTTTGTTACCTCTTATTTCAGAAAGTTCCAAAGAGGTGAGCAGTCGCCCTCTGGGAAAGGAGGGCTGAGAATCAATAGGGACTTGTCAAATGCTGAAGCGCAGGCCACGCACCCCAATAATTCCAACTCAGTAGGGCTGGAGTGGGGCCCAGCAGTTTCCCACTGCTGAGTGATTCCACTAAGACTTGTCTGCACAGCACTGAAAGAAATGCTGCCCTAAAATCAACTTCCTTCATCCAGCATCATGCAAATGCTCAGCCTAGAGACAGTTCAGCCCACGTTCACAGATTAGTCCTGACAACTGTGAGCTGATGACAGCGATTTGCTCTGGCAGAGAGCTCAACTTCTGGGAGGGTTTAGAAAGTTACTTATTTTTTTGTGTGGGGGGAGGCCCTGGAGAATGAAAGAATCTCTTTAATGTGAAATAACTGATGAGTTTTAGCATTTCTGGATATATATCTGACCTCGGTTATAATACTATATATATATATCATTACCACTCACCAGATATGGAAAGATGTAGAAATGGAATAAAGAAAGGCGGATGCAGCTTGGATACATTTTTTGTAAAGAACTGGTATCCCCAAAATACTTAACTTGGGAAAAGTAATATAAACATATTTTAAAGAAAGACTATTGGGCTATTTTTGAAAAGTAAAGACCAGTCATTGCTGTTGAGACAGTAAGATAATATAATAATACTGAAAAATCATTTATTTCAGTGCCTTGGGGCATTTAGATAAAGGGTGTTAAGCAATAGCACTGCAGTTCTGCAGGCGTCTGACTGATAGCTTCCTAATAATGATGCGCGGGGGGAAATTCTTTCTGAATTTTCTCAGTCATTTCCAGAGTAAGTAGGATTAAATCATCCAAGTGATACAAGCAGCACAGTGCAGGTCTCCTTTCTGAGACCAAATCTCTCCACAGGCCTGATGGGGATGTAAGCACTAAACCTAGTTCCCGTGTCTTCCAGGTGAAAGCCACTGAGGAAAGAGCCACGCTCACCTTAGGGAGAAGGGCGCTATTCTTTAGACGGTTGGAGACTAGAAAGATATTGGAATCATGTCAATCTACACTTTGGACTGAATGACTGTGGGATTAGTTGAGACAATTAGTGTTACATAAAACAACTTGGCATATATTTCAACATGTGCCCATTTTCACCGTCACTGGGTGATTTTTAGCAATAAACCACCTCTCAATGAAAACAACAGCAACTTCACACAATATTTTTCCTGGTGTTTAATCTTTTCTCCCAAATTATCTTAAAAGATGATACTGGGACTTACAGTTTACGATGATTTTTACTTTCTTCACGTCTGGGAAGGACACATCATTTTCTGCACTGCATTCATATTCCCCAGCCTGGTCCCTTGTAATTGAGTAAATGTCCAAATATTGTCCACTGTCAAATGGTTTTGCTACAAAATAAAAAAGAAACAGCATGTTAAATTGTAGCTGCCTGAGGCTTCATTCAAGTAAAACAACAATCGCCTGAGCTCTTACTAGATACTGCTGACGAAACAATTCCAAATGAAACTGGGGAATTATTAAACTCTTTGTTCTTCTATGTTCACAGGAAAACTCCAAGAAAAAAGCAGTTGTAGAACAAGGGACATTGTAACAACCGCTTCCCCAGAACAGGATATACATGTGTTCCTTTTAATTGACCGTGGTGCTTTACCCTCCGCACACATCAAATAGAGTTCTGCTCAGTTCTGTAATTGAGTGCAACAACTTTCTTCCCGTGCAGATGAAATTCACTAAGATGATTCGGTACATATTGACTTTTATACAATGTGAGCCAGCAACTTGACACTTAACTTAGCTAAATGCTACTTTTCTTTTGTGGAAATCTATCCTTCCTTAAGCTTTTAAGCCAGATGGCTTGATAAGCGTATGTGGATCTATAAAACCACTGCCATATTTCTGTTTCCAAGATTATTGTTTCCAAGAAAGCTACACTGTAAACACTGTATAAAACCATCCAATAAATTTTTTAAAAATGCTTTATTTTCATACTACGAGTTACATAATTATAAAAAAATAAATCATCTTTGCTTTTTAGTATTCCAGAGAAAACATGTTATTTGACTAAAAATAACGCAAGATTAAAACCACAAAAGCATCATCACAGATGGAAGACTATCCTCAGTAATTATGATTTGAAATAAAGACTCCTTTCTTTAATAATGAAGTTTTTATTTCATTGAAAGCACAAAACCATTGAACAGTGAGGATCTTGATTACCAGAGGAATGGCAACGGAAGTTTGCGCCTGTGTGAATTCCAGAGCAGGGACCTACTCCCTCTCGTCATGGGCCAGAAAAGTCACATTTCAGTGCACACCAAAGCAAACTGGAAATGAAGCAATGGCTTCCTCTAAACTATCTCTTTCTGTGATTCAACGTTATTTGTGTCGTCAGCCTACTGTTTTTCAAGAAAAGTTGAAACGACACAGAAGTTAGAAAGCTAATAAGAAGATTTAATTTTAGAGAATCAAAGAAAATGATGTTTAGTTTGACTTTCCAAACCTAAGATCCTTGCCAATTAATTTTTTTTTTTCCCCTCAGAGTTCCCTGGCCCAGGCCCATATATTATCTGTTGTTCAGTCTAGCAGAGAACTAGTCCAGGCAACTCTGAGTTTGCTAACTGAAAGCTGGAGTGTTTAAAATGTGTAGAATGAAGTTAGCTTTATTTCTATTTATCTAGCTGATCTCAAGTTGTATATAGGGGAGAGTTAACCTGCTATTGTAGTTGGCTGAGAGTTATTTCAGGTATCTGGATGTAAGCTTGCAAAAATAACAGTTATTTTCACCACTCAAATTCTTAAGATCTGATTTTAGAATAGTTTTTCTATCCCTTCACTTTCTTTTATTTGGCCTTAGTAACTTAATGCAATATTTAATTTCTATATTTCTTTACTCTTTCTCTTATTATCACTCCTATAATAATAAAACTCTAGTTTTATATATGTCTATAAATACTATTAAATATAGAGAACAGAATCCTTATTCATATTGAAGACTTTTTACAGTATAACTTGAGTTATAAACTAAGAAGAAGTTAAATATAAAGAATGTGGAGCAATAATATGCTACATCAGAGTTAAATGGCCACGGTGGGTAGCACACAATGAAGCAGTCACAAGTGTCAAGGTACACTACTGTGAAACTCTATAAAAATGAATTTATTATCATTTAACATAGTTTTCAATATTAAAAGGTTACTTGCACATTCCTATTTCTGCGAACTGATACAATCTCCTTTGGTAAAAGGCGTATATCATAATCTACTTGAATAATCAAATGCAGTATTATTTAATCCATAAATAAATAACTAAAGGTGATGGATATGATTGTGCATATCATTGTTTTTACTCATTAAATGTGGCAGAGATGGGGACAATAGCTTTTAGAGTATGAAAAGATAGGAATAGGCAGGGTTGTATATCTACCAAGAAGCAATAAATATAATGAAAAGTGAGACACAATAGGCTCAGAACTTTCAGAAGAGCAAGGATTTTTCTTTTCCGGCATCCTGCAGACTTCACAGCACACTCAGTATGACTGAGAAGAACTGCTAGAAGCCACACTACAAAACATCACCAATGTCAGGACCATCAAGTTAGGTAACTCCAAGGAGCACAGTTCATATCCATTGAATCTTTGTCATTGGAGTTGACTGTGTGATTTCCCTAACTTGTATTTGGTGTTCTTCTCCAATCCTAATACAGAATGAAGGCTATATTTACAAATAAAAGGATTGTCAGTAAATGGTTATTCATTGCATCACAATAGAGCCAGTGAATGGCAGTAGAGCCAGTGAATGGATGATATTGCCAACAAAGCAATTGCATAGCATTAATATAAAGATATTTAAGAGAAAGAAAGTATAAACGCATGGTCAACCACTTCTCTTCCCCACCAGACTCCTGGTATTTTAAGCCATCTGCTGCTTCCTTTCAGTGTGAACCAGTTCTTCCTAAAGGTAGGCAAATAGCATTCCACTCTTTTTACACAAATAACTGTTTCCATCCTGAATTAATCCTTCCTCTGTTCTCAATCTCCTCTTACCAGAACAGAATTGCAGACTTTAAATTTGGAGTTGCTTCACCTAGGATATAAGCCCTGAAATTCACTAGTTGTCTGTAATTTGTTCAGCTGCCTTTGATTTTAGTTGTGCTATCTTTCTTTAGTATTAATTCTCAGTTCTGTGTGCAAGGAAGCCAATCCTGCTTTTAGAAACTTGGCTAATATTGACCTCTTTTTGCCTCACTTTAAGAAGAAATTGGGCACAGTACATTGAAAGGTAACATGGAACATTTCAGCTCAAATATGCTATATAAATCAACCTGTCCATCAAGATGGAAGGGAAAGCTCAAGGTGAAAGGATATATAGAACTAAAAACAGGAGGATCACCCCCAGAACTCCACGATGTTTCTGAGGGGCAGACATTGCCTTAGTGTACCTATTATAACTCTAGGCACTGAGATCTGTTTTTTGTTTTTTTTTTTTGGTACCGGGGATCGAACTTGGGTCCTTGCTCTTGTGCAGCAGGTGGCGAAACCACTGAGCTGAATCCCCGGCCCTAGATCTGTTTTATCTCTCCTGGTGCCAAGTATAAATGTAACAGAAATAAACACATTAGTATATGGTAAACCCTTTCTGGCCATAGATTTCTGCATTCTCCACCAGTGTAAATGCAATTTCTGTTTGGTTCATTCTGTGCTCTTAGGTCTCACATAATAAATATCATATACGTTATAAGTTTTTATTGAGCAATTAAATAAAATGATAAATGAATTAATACAGCCCTGTGCAGGAAATGCTCACTTCGAAGAAGTCCCACTTTTCTTTCAGAGATGTTAAGGAAAATAATTTTAAAAAGAAGTGTCATCTTTGCTGACATCTCGAAGTGATAGGTGATGGCAGGGTGAGAACAAAGTCTGCAGCTATCATAGATCCTTTTCAAGATCATAAAGATCAGACCAACAAAAACATTAAATACAATCGAAGCAGTTTTCTCTTGTGTGTTGTCTCTTCCAAGCTGAGACAGACCTTTCTCCAAAAAGGAGAACAAAAGAAATTCCACTGGCTTGCGATGATATCAATATGGTGACATCCATACAAAATATTCCTTCAAAGGGATGTTGAAAAATAGGCTGCAGCTATAATTTATAACAACTCTCTGATACTGATTTCAGATTATGAACCTGAAGAGGAGAAGTTCTATGTTGGCCACTCAACAATATTAAGCTTGGGTTTTATGGTCTGATGAGGCATTTGTGCATTCCTTTATGTCGCATATAGAAATTGTAGTGACACTAGTGTTTATATGTTTCAGAACAATAACTGTCAAATAAAATCTTTCTTCCCTCAATTTCTAAGACATTGTTCCTCACTAGCTTTTCTCTCATCTCTCTGTTCATTTTCTTTTCACTTGTACAAAACCCTTCACACATTCATATCCCTTAGATATTGTTTCTAACCAGAGCATTCTTTTACTTTCATTCAGTCCACTCTTTCAGGGGATGCTATTTATTCATTTATATTTTATTACCATCTCTTTATTGACAAATCCCTGAGTGATCAATTGGGTCTCTATCTGCATCTTGAATCTTAGACACGCGTTTTCAATGTGGCAGCCCCTCTCAGAGGAGTCAGCACCTCAAAGTCAACATAATCAAACTCACATCCACCTTTCCCTCCACATCTGCGTCTCCTCCTGTGTTTTTAGCCTCCACGAATGTTTTCATCATGACTCGGATGCTCGAGCCAGGAACCTTTGCCTTCACATCCCCGGAATCTTTTCTCTCAGTCACCATCCAACTCTGTGTCCTGTCAGTTTCACATCCGGGAAATCTCAAAGTTGTTCTGGGAGCCCCTGCCTTACTCATCTCTAGAAGTGCATGCTCTTAAGGTGTAGTAAAGGCTGCAGGCTGCTTTCCAGAGTCATTTCGATCACTTTCCAAAATCTTTGTGATCACACTTTCCAAAGCATCCCTGTAGAAAGGATGTTGTGCTAGGGTATTATAGCCATTTATTACGAGATGGCCCTGCAACTGAAATGATCATCTACACTTGGAATGATTTATTTATGCTGATGAGAGTAATTATTTCCTATCAGCTTACTGTTCGCCAGCACACTTGGGATCATGGAAATATCTCTTACATGTACCATGCCATGCCCTGTGGTTAGGGATGTCAGTGGGAGAACTGGACTATCTGGCCTCAAATCCTAGCTCTGTCATTTGTTAGCTATGTGACATTATACAAGATACCTAATCTTAACTTTACTCTTTAGAATTTGTGAGGATAATAAAAGAAACTGCTATATGGCTCTTGTGAAGACTGAGTTAACACAAGGAAAATACTTGGAACACAATGTGAGTCATAATAAAAATGTAAAAAGATATATT